TTTGTGCATATAGAGGTAATAAACCAGCTATTAAATGCTGGATGAACAGTGCCACTGACTAAATTATCCAGTATGACTCCCTGGGGTATTCGTGAGGACACATCTGATGGTGGGGCCACCTGTCTGGAAGGAAAATTACAATTCCCCCTATTTTTAAGCTGGTCATACACCAGTAGAATTTTATTTTAAAAAATTGTTTTCAGATGGTTCCAGATGTTCAGCTATTCACTCCGCCTCAGTATGGCTGAATTCAGCTGTACATCGGCTGCCTTCGGTCAGCCGAACATGCTCTGCATGCCCAGCTGAGCCGAAGTGCAGAGGGACTTCGACTCAGCCGATCCAACATCTGGATCAGCTGAGCCGAAGTTCCAGCAGCTCGCTGGCTGCCATTCACCCCTGTTCACGGCATTTGGCTTGACTATTCTGCTTGGTACCTCCGTGGTACCGAGCAGAATAGAAAATCAGTGAAAAGAGTGGGAAAAAAAAAGCAGAAGTTCGCCCCACTTCGGCTGTCACTTCGGCTCGGTCGAGCTGAAGTATATGCCCTCGGCTCGGCTGAGCCGCTTGGCCACTTTGTACAGGCCACTATAGTACGGGCTATAGTGAATAGCCCGTACAGCAGCCCTTCGGTTCGACTGAACCAAAGGGCTCCGGTGGCCAGAGAGAGCCTGGACTGGGTGTGGTGCAAAGAGGAACAGAGCCCTGGCATGTATTGTTTTTATAGTGATAAGAAGCATAATAGCCTAAAGAACAGAGCCCCCCTCCCCCTCTCCCTTTATCCCTCTTTCCTTTCCCTGGTAATTAGAATTTTTGGATAACCTCATTTCTAAATAAACAAAACCCGTATTTTAAGATCCAGTTGTCCTTCAATAAAATCAAGGCACCCCAAACAGAGCACATCTCATGAGTTGTCCTTCTACTGCATTGCCTATAAATCATAGCAGTCTGTCGACCCGATTTAATATTTCATCCTATAGATAATAGTAAATGGGGAAAAAATAGGATTTTTGTACTCACCGTAAAATCCTTTTCTCTCCGTTCATTGAAGGACACAGGGCAACAGATCGGAGCCCTTATGCGTTCCAAACTGAACCGAGGCCATAGTAGCAGTGCCAGGAGACTCCTCAATCTTAAGCGTCTCACGGACGGCGCGCACTCCCGACCCGCCGAGGCAGAGCCTGCATGCGCTTGATGGCCACCCAGGGGAGACTACCAGGATCCATCACCATCCACGCTAGGCAAAAAACTGGAGACTTGTCAGCAGGTGGGGGGTTGGGCCACCAGCAGGGGCCGCCCCTAGGCTGTCTAAGTCTTTTTTTGTTATGTGCCTAGCGTCCTACTCCTGCAGGTGGCGATATACCCTACCTTTCAGGATCTCCGATCTGTTGCCCTGTGTCCTTCAATGAACAGGAGAGAAAAGTAATTATAGCTAATTACACATAGCACAGTAAACAAAACAAAATTCAGCACATTCAAGACACTGTGAGGGGAATTAATCAAAACTGGAGCAGAGAAAATCTGTAACGGCACAGTAACCAATCAGCTTCTCTCTTTCATTTTCAAATCTTAACTGAACAAACTGAAGAGAGAAGCTGATTGGCTGCTATGCACAGCTGCTCCAGATTTTGTCTGCTCTAGTTTTGACAAATCCCCCCCCAGTATCTTTAAAAAAAAAATAGAATTTTTTGCAATCCAGCTGTGGTGGAACTAAATATCCCATCATGCCTCTGTCTCTGGGAGTCATGCCTGTGGCTGTCGGTCTTGCAATGCCTTGTGGGACTTGTAGTTCTACAACAGCTGGATTGCCAAGATTGCCTGCCCCTGTAGTAGTCACATAGATTTAAAACCAGTAGAGAAAAAAATACATTTTTATAATAGGCACACCACCGTACACTGAAGTGTACATTTCATAGCAAATCACAGCTGTTCTGCATATATACCAGTAACCCTTGCACTCATTTGTGCACGTTGTGGGCTCATAGTAAATTCCATAAGCATATCCTTTAGTAACTCATCCCCAAAGGGTCTATGAAGATCCTAAAGATCCAGTATATAGGTGTATGTAAGAAAGTCTATTTGCACAGCACAAAGCAGTAGAGTGAACGTCATGGTGGTTTTGGCTGCTGTTACCCCCTCTGATCTCTGGGCATGCATTGGCAATAGTACAACTGATGTGTTCTATTTATCACTCATTTGAAAAGATGTTGTCAGCCAGTGTGTTGAGTAAACATTGCTATGGAAGAGTACTTAGAGACTGTAAGCAGCTAATCACCATAAAACATAATGAGTATGCAGGTGCACTTGAAACAGTCCTATACCTGCAGATAAAGAAAAGTCATTTGCAACTGACTTTGTACATGTTGACGGACATTTTACTAACAGAGGTTGTATGGGGCCATGTACATGCGCAGCAACCATGATGGACTTAGGCCCCATTTTAATGGACGGTAACACAAGGGCAACCATAAATGAATGGTTGTGAATGGGCATGCTGTACTTTTTTCAGCGCAACACAAACTGTCAAAAAACGAATGCTAATGTGCGCTGACATATCGCAAGCTATTACAGTGAAGAAGACAGATTGCAAAAGATCGGAAGGAAATTGGAAGGTGCAATCACAAGTCAATGTATCCTCCGTTGACTTGCGAGTACCTTCTGATTTTGGCGTGTACAGGTCCTCAACCTTTCTTGCAATAATTATGGAAGGATTTTTATCTAATACAAAGCAGGACAGTTATAAATCAAGGAACTTATGAAATCACTTAGGCCTGGTTCACATGGACATCAAGGGGGCGTTGAAACCAGGCGGTTAATCTGCAGTTTCCTTCATCCCCCTTCCCGTTGCATACATTGTAACAGTGCTGCATACATTGCCACTACGTGGGTATGCAGTTGTGGCGCAGCATTGCAATAGAGAATCTCTATTAAAAGACAATCCTTAATCTGCTGTTTACAAACAGCAGCTGTCACCTGTTCAAGTTAATGATTGGGTGACAGCCGCTGCACTTAAACGGCGGCACACCACATGTAATGTAATGCCATTACATGCCGTTAGAAATCCATCATGATCAATGTGTCCAGGCAGAGTGATTGATTTCTAACCGCATGTAATTGAATCACATACGATAACATGCGGTATGCCGGCGTTTAAGTGCAGCGGCTGTCACCCGATAATTAACTTGAATGGGTGACAGCTGCTGCTTGTAAACGGCAGATTAGGGATTCTTGCTACAGGATAACGCAAGCAGGAATCCCTAATCAAACCTAAACATACAGGTGTAAATGGAGCCCTCTGCGTCCTAGCAACAAAGCTGGCTAGAAGGCAGGAGACATCTAGTGTCCTTCTTTGCTAGGATGTGGGTGGCTTGAGCTGCCTACAGGCTTTTGTTGCTAGGAGGAAGGCAGGTCCTTGCTGCTTAGTGACCTTCGTTGCTAGGAAGCAGGCGGCTCCTTGCTGCTAGTGTCCTTTGTGGCTAGGAGGAAGGCAGCTCCTTGCCGCTTAGTGATCTTCATTGCCAGGAAGCAGGCAGCTCCTTGCTGCTAGTGTCCAATGTTGCTAGGATGCAGATGGCACCTTGCAGTGTAGCATCCTTAGTTGCTAGGACAAAAGTGGCTTAAGTCACCTAGTGTTCTTTGTTGCTAGGACAGAGGAGTCTTGAGCTGCTAAGATGCAGGCAGCTCCTTGCCACTTAGTGACCTTTGTTGCTAGGAAGCAGGCAACTCCTTGCTGCTAATGTTCTTTGTTGCTATGATGCAAATGGTACTTTGCAGCTTAGCACCCTTCATTACTAGGACAAAGGAGGCTTGAGCCACATAGTATCCTTTGTTGCTAGGATGAAGCAGGCTTGAGCTGCTAAGATTCAGCCAGCTCCTTGCTGCCTAGCGACCTTCATTGCTAAGATACAGATGGCTCCTTGCTCAAGCCGCCTAGCATCCAATAGTGCACCCTTGCGCTATCTGCATGTAAAGGTTGTGCAAACATCACACGCGTACAGAGCACTTTTTATGTAGGATCGTGCCCCCAGCTTCTGCCATCAAGACTGGTTGCTGTATTTCCATATGGTCTTTTGCATGAGCCTTATAGGGCAGGAAGTCTCCCCAATGAGACCCCATTCACACTGAGCTACATTAAAAAAGCGCTTTTTCAGCACTGATTTGAGCTGAGCAACATTGAGCTACATTGCACATTTTGTCACCCTATGTAGCTCTTCTTTGGGCAGTCTATCAATGCCTATTGGGGACAAATCGCACAAAATCCGCTGGAAAAATAGGAAATGTTGGAGCGACAAGCTTGAGCTCCAAGCTACAGGTGACACTGAGTTGTGAACAGCTCCATTGAAATGCATTGGAAGCGATTTTTGAGTGGAAATCGCACTACAAACCGCTCAGTGTGAATAGGGTCCCAGACACAGAAAACAACTGACAGTTTTCACCATTACCCTTCTCTATTCAGAATGAAAAGAAACTTCTACTACAATTTAACCAGACCGCACACCCTTCTGCGTTCGGTGTCATGTGACTGGCCGCACTTTGCCAGTGAAATGGCTTCTGATTAGTTGCTATGGGCTACTAAGCTTTAACTACATAAATAGCAGTTCCTTCTTATGTTTCTTAGTGGTGATCTGCTTAACAACCTTCATTTCATCTATAACAGAGGTATCCCTTCCTGTTCCTATGATGAAGTCCAGCACTTTGCTGTCCCCTGTATGCAGGGCATTATACAGTAAGTGCTGAGCTTTGGAGGAAGAGATTAGTCATGTGTGTTTCCAGGAGGACCGATGTAATGTGAGCCAGCTTAGCTTTGTCTTCTCCCCAGCCAGCACTCCAGCTCCAGTAACCTGATCTGTAAGGACACAGGAGTAGTGGTGCCGGGACAGCAGAGACCGGGAGGAGAGGGTAGACTGCACAGGGGCAATTGTGTCCCCCCTCCCCCAGTCCCTGAGGACGGCTGCTCACACACTGCACTGCCTGCCATTGAATTCCAGGACACCACCACAGCCATGGCTCAGAGGATGAAGTGCAGACCCTGGTCAGCCCTGGGCAGGCTGGAGACCTACAACTCCCACAGGTAGGAGCGGAGCTTGTCTGCACTGAGGGGGTATACATGGAAGTTTTGGAGTCGGGAAGACTCAGCATTGTGTGCGGGCTGTTTACCGTTGTCATGGAGATGAAGCTTTTCACTGTGCACGTGTGTAGTAAAAGTACACGGATCGTATGGAATTCTCACTGGATGTGCATGTGGAACTGCAACACCTAACATGCTCTGTCAGCCTGTCCTGTTATAGAGGGCAACATTGCTGCTAAGTTGCTGAATTTTGGCTTATTGCTTACAGCAGGTTCTCTTGCTGAGTACACAGGGGTGGGTAACACTCCAGCTGTGGGGAAACTACAAATCCCATGATCCATCTGTCTCTGGGAGTCGTGGCTGTGAGAATCTTGCAATGCCTTGTGGGATTTGTAGTTCCACAACAGCTGGAGGGTCGGAGTTTGCCCACCCCTGCGAGTTATGCCTATGTCCACGAAAAGGTGAACTCCTGCACTTCAGGGGTTAAATGATCCTTTATGTCTAGTGCACTGGCAGCTCCCACACTGCAAGATGACCCCCCCC